GGCCCTGGGTTTGATCCCCAGCATTGTAAAAAAAAAAGTTGTTACTCTACAGATTGATCTATACACCCAACACAATCCTTATCATAATCCCAGGTGCTTTTCTATCAAAATTGAAAAGTTGGTCCTAAAATTTATAAGTAAATACAAGGGCCTCAGAAGAGAAAAACAAAAACAAAAACAAGATATCCACACATGCAGATTTAAAAACTAAGATTTTATGGTACTTATAAAAGGATACACATTTAGAATTGATAGTGTAGAAATAAATCCATATATTTAGAGTCAAATGATTTTTAACATGGGCACCAAGATGATTAATTTGAAAAATACCATTATTTCAACAAACAGTGGTAGAACAAATGGACAGCTGTATGAAAAAGACTGAAGTGGGACTCTTCCTCGGACTAGATATAAAATTTCAAATGGATCCAAAACCTAATTCAAAGTTGAAACTGTGAAATTCTTTGAAAGTATGGATATAAATCTTAGTAATCCTGGGTCGGGCAATTATTTCTTGAATAGGAACAAAATAATTTTAAAAATAGATAAATTGGATTTTGTCTAAATTAATAACTTGGGCTTCAAAAGATACCATCAAGAAAATGAAAAGATAGTCTATAGAATGATACAGAATTTTTGCAAATAATATAGATAAGAAACTTGTATCTAAAATAGATAAAGAACTCTTGCAATTCAATGAGGAAAAAATGAACAGCCCAATTTAAAAATGGGCAGATCCCTAGAATAGCAAAGACCATTCTAGGCAACAGAGACATGACAAGGAGGTATTACAATCCCCAGTGTGAAACTATACCACAAAGCCACTGTGATAAAAACAGCATGGTACTGGCAAAGAAACAGACCTGAGGATCAGTGGAATAGATTAGAAGTACTCAGCTACTTCATCTTTGACAAAGGAGCCAACCATCCTTACTGGAGGAAATATAGCCTCATCAATAAATTGTGTAGGAAAAACTGGATTTTAACCTGCCAGAGATTAAACCTAGACTACTAAACTAAAATTGAAATGGATTAAATATCTAAATATTAAAACAGAAACATTAAACTTGCTGGAAGATATGTCAGGTACTCTTGTAGACATTGGAATAGGAAAAGACTTTATGAACAAATCCTCAGTAGTACAGGAACTAGCACAAAGAATCAACAACTGGGATCCCATTAAAAAGCTTCTGCACTGCAAGAGAAATCACCAACAGAGCTAAGAAATAATCTACAATGTGGGGAAAAAAATTAACCAGCTGTTCCTCAGACAAAGGTCTACTATCTAGAATATATAAAGAACTCAGAAAAATCAGACCTCACAAATATAAAGGCTCAATTAAAAAACAGGCATCTGATGTGAACAGATATTTCTCAAAGAAGTAAAGGTGACAAATAAATATATGAAAAAAATGTTCATCACCAATCATTCAAGAAATGCAGATGAAAACAACGCTGAGATTCCACCTCACCCCAGAAAGAATGGCTGCTGCTATCAAGAAATCAACCAATAGCAAGTGCTGGTGGGGTTGTAGGGAGAAAGGAACCCTTCTCCATTGTTGGTGGGAGTGCAGACTGGTGCAACCACTATGGAAATCAATATGGAGATACCTCAAACAACTACGATTAGAGGTCCCATTTGACCCAGCTATGCCTCTGCTGGGTATCTTTTCAAAAGCTTTAAAGAATCATACCACAGCAACATATATGTACCCATGCTTATAGCAGCATAGTTTGCAATAGCTAAAATTTGGAAACAGCCCAATTGCCCATCAATGGGAGACTGGATAAAGATGTGGTTTTTCTATAAAATGGAGTACTACAAACCATAAAGAATGAGAAACTAGAGAGATTTATAGCTAAGTGAATGCACACTGAGACCATACTCTTAAGTGAAATAAATAGGACACACATATGTAAATACCAAATAGTTTCTCTGATGTGCAAAACTAAAAGCGTAAATAAGATTCAAATTGTATAAGTAATAATGTGAAATAGGAAGAAAAGGTCTAAAGGAGTAGGGGAAGTGGGAAGGGTAGGGGAAAGGAAAGAAGGGATAAAAATATGAGAAAAGGGCAAATGAAAACAAAGTCTTTGTAAATAGGACAGGGTGGAGGGAGTGAAGGGAGAGCAGGGGGATGGGGAAAAGTAAAAATTAAGATACATCGTGTAGCCAGGGATTTAGCTCAGCGGTTCGGTGTCCTGCCTCACAAGCACAAGGACCTGAGTTCAATCCCCGGTACCAAAAAAAAAAAAAAAAAAAACATCATGTAAAGGTGTAAGATGCCAATGATGAATGTAACTGTACTCTGTACCTAAAAAGTACCAATAAACTTAGTGGAAAAAATAAATAAAAATGGGCAGAGGATCTGAATAGGTCTTTCCACAAAGAAGATAAACAAAATAACCATTAAACATAAAAAGATGCTGCATATTAGCCATCGTGGAAATTCAAAGGGAAGTCACAGTGTAACACTTCACATTTATCAACATGGCTATAATAAAAAACATAATAACAAGGCTTTGTGAAGATATACAGAAACCAGAAACGTCATACATTACTGGGGGGAATGTACAATGATGCACCCCTTTGGAACACAGTCTAGCTAAATATAGAATTACATGATCCAGTAATTCTATTTCTAGTATATACTCAAGAGAAATGAAAACTTATGTCCTTACAAAAAACTTGTACACAGATGTTCATAGAGGCTTTATTCATAATAGCCAAAAAGTGGAAGCAACCCAAATGACCCACAGCACCTAGTGAATGGATAATCAAGATGTGGTATAATCGTGCAACGGAATATTACTCAGCAATACAAATGAATGAAGTACTGGTTCGTTATACAACATTATATAAAGGGAAAGAGGCCACAGACAAAAAGCCTATGTATTAGATTTATAAAAGATCCCAGATGGGCAAATCCATAGAGAAAGATTAAAATTGTCAGAAGCCATGGGAAAGGAGAACAGCTAATGAATAGAGTTTCTCTTGGGGATACATGGTGTTCTGGAACGTGATAATAATAATGATATTCTGGTATATGCCCAGTATAAATTAGGTTTGCTTGTTTATTTTGGTACTGGAGACTGAAACCAGGGCCTTCATATTGCCAGCCATATATATATTTTTTTTATTATTATTTTTTTTTAATGAAACAAGGTCTTGTTAAGTGGCTAAGTTGCCTGGGCTGGGTTCAAACTTGTGATCTTCTGCCTCAGGCTCCCAGAGTGCTGAGATCAAGGCAAGAGCTATCAGGTCTGGCTTATAACCCAGTTTTTTAAAAATTAATAAAAACCTTTGATGGGTGCACAAGCCCATATACGATCAAGCAGAGAGCTGTTGACTTCACAGACTCCAGGAGAGGCTTAAAACAAAGATATACAAGACCACAGGCCCACTTTTTGGTTTTCTGATCGAAGGCTCCAGGGTAGGACAGAGATTTTTTAAATGTTTATAGCTCCATGAATATTTCTAAACCCTATCTCCATCCTACCCTAGATAAGAGTGAACCTAGATTTTTTTTTTTTTATACCAGGAATTGACTTTGGGTTTGCAAGGCAGGTGGTGGAACAACTGAACTAAATTCCCATCCTGAACCTAGATTTTTTTTTTTTTATACCAGGAATTGACTTTGGGTTTGCAAGGCAGGTGGTGGAACAACTGAACTAAATTCCCATCCTGAACCTAGATTTTTTTTTTTTTATACCAGGAATTGACTTTGGGTTTGCAAGGCAGGTGGTGGAACAACTGAACTAAATTCCCATCCTGAACCTAGATTTTTTTTTTTTTATACCAGGAATTGACTTTGGGTTTGCAAGGCAGGTGGTGGAACAACTGAACTAAATTCCCATCCTGAACCTAGATTTTTTTTTTTTTATACCAGGAATTGACTTTGGGTTTGCAAGGCAGGTGGTGGAACAACTGAACTAAATTCCCATCCTGAACCTAGATTTTTTTTTTTTTATACCAGGAATTGACTTTGGGTTTGCAAGGCAGGTGGTGGAACAACTGAACTAAATTCCCATCCTGAACCTAGATTTTTTTTTTTTTATACCAGGAATTGACTTTGGGTTTGCAAGGCAGGTGGTGGAACAACTGAACTAAATTCCCATCCTGAACCTAGATTTTTTTTTTTTTATACCAGGAATTGACTTTGGGTTTGCAAGGCAGGTGGTGGAACAACTGAACTAAATTCCCATCCTGAACCTAGATTTTTTTTTTTTTATACCAGGAATTGACTTTGGGTTTGCAAGGCAGGTGGTGGAACAACTGAACTAAATTCCCATCCTGAACCTAGATTTTTTTTTTTTTATACCAGGAATTGACTTTGGGTTTGCAAGGCAGGTGGTGGAACAACTGAACTAAATTCCCATCCTGAACCTAGATTTTTTTTTTTTTATACCAGGAATTGACTTTGGGTTTGCAAGGCAGGTGGTGGAACAACTGAACTAAATTCCCATCCTGAACCTAGATTTTTTTTTTTTTATACCAGGAATTGACTTTGGGTTTGCAAGGCAGGTGGTGGAACAACTGAACTAAATTCCCATCCTGAACCTAGATTTTTGTGTATTCCTGGTTTTGTTGTTTAGGACTTCCCAGTTGTTAGAATACCATGTTAGGTATCAAAATCAGGAAATCTAGATGCTGCTCATCGTAAATTATTTCATTCTATACCAATCCATTATCTTTCATACTCTTTCAAGAACATCTGCTGTCACTCACATTTCATAAAGAATATTTACAAAGTATATTGGTCATTGATATTTCTTTTCTCAAACTCAGGCCAAAATCTCAATTGCATCAGGCATGTAGAGACATTTCATAAATGTTATTTATTTTCCCTTCACTGTGTCAATTTATGTCTAAGCCCTCAATCCTTAGGAATGAATAGCTTTCCCTAAATGTAGCTTAGGGTTATGTAAAAAAAAAGAATTTATAAGAATTAATATTAATCTAAGAAGAAATGTGAATTCTAGCAAAAAAGAGAACTCACCTTCATCCCTGAAGAGTGTTATATAAGTCTGTTTCTCTGAGTCTCCATCTTGGCAAATATTAGAACATGCACTCTTCAGGGTTTTCCCCAAAACAGTGGGTCCCTAAAAGAGAAAAATAACTTGTGACAAGAACCCTGAGGAGGCCTCAGTCTGTTTCCATGATTTATGATCTCTTTGCCTCAGTAACGATTCCAGCAATTTGGTCCAGACCCACAAGTGGCCATGTCTGACATTTTAGCAGCAATGGGCAAGTACCCTTCTGAGTCGGGCTCTCCAGCCACACAGAGCTCACAAATCACCTTTCTTCCCTGCAAGGTTATCATCGACTGCTTAATTATAGAAGAGAAGTTTGCATCTGTGGCCAAGAACCAGGGCCAGATTTACTCAAATATGAACCGGTTTCCAGTTTCCAAGCACAGTCAGTATCAAGGGATCCATAAGCTTCTAAGACTATAGGATCGAAGAAAAATGTTGGTCTTTCCAAGTTGAACACTGCTATGAATTCATGAATGGCTGCTTACAATTTCTAAAAAAAAACAACTGCTAGGCTAAAGTGAGATGTGAAGAAAACAAAATTAACCATCAAGATGACCTACAAAAAATTCTTCCCACCTATTTCCATTCTTCTTCCTGAAAAAAATAATACGTGGGGCAGTTTGGTATGGCCCTTCAAGAGGCAAAGGAGAATAAACTGCCTTCAAGATTCTTCAACTCTTAATATTGTAAAATCCAATGTTTCTGAAATGTTGTGGTTATTGCGTTGATAGCTAACACATACACATTGTACAAGACATAAGCCTATAGAAAAAAATCTCCATCCATCCATTTTGTTTAATCTTCCAGAGTCTTATCACAGAAGCTATTCTAAATCTTGAGGAGACAGCAGCAAGCAAAAGTTTCCCTGTCCTCAGAAGCTTACATTCTGCTGTGGAGAAACACTAAATAGGTGTGGGTACTAATAAAACCCACAAGATAATTAAAGTACCCTGAGAAGGATGGCCATTTAGGTAGGAAGAAATCCAGATGCATGTGGTTCCATAAAACCTGGCAAAGAACCTGGACATGGGGTACCACGTAATCCCAGCATTCTAGGAGGCTGAGACAAGAGGGTTTCAAGTTGAAGGCCATCTGTGCAACTTAGCAAGACTGTGTCTCTAAATTTTTTAAAATGTTTTTTAAAGACTGGGGTTATAATTCAGTATGAACACTCTGGGTTCATTCTCCAGTACTGGGAAAATAAAAACAAAAACAATGAAATCCAACTTAGCAAAGACAGCATTTCAAAAGTGAAAGTGCTGCCAGTCATGTCAAGGGCCACACAAAGTCAAGTGAAATAGAGACAAAGAGTTGCTGGCTTTGGCCAAGTGATGGCAACTGGTAATCTTTTTTTTTTTTTTTTTTTTTATTGAGTTTATTGGTACATTTAGGGATACAGTACAGTTACATTCATTGTTGGGATCATGTACCTTTACATGGCAAGTCTTGATTCTCATTTTTTCCCCTTACCTCTGCCCTCCCTTCCCCCCCTCCTCCCCTCCCCATCTACAAACACTTTATGTTCATCTTTTCATTCTCTCACATTTTTTCTTTTCCCTTTTTGTTCTTCCCCTACGTATCACACCTTCCCTACACCTTTAGCTCCTTTCCTCCCATTTCTAAATGTCAGTAATCTTATTAGAATCTCATGCATTGTTGCAGAATATTCACACCAGGGAAACTATTTGGTATTTACACATGTGTGACTTATTTATTTCACTTAGGAGTATATCTTCAATATGGATCCATTTTCCTATGAATGAATCTATTCTCTTGCTCTTTATGGCTGAGTAATATTCCATTTTATAGAAAAACCACAACTTCTTTATCCAGTTTCCAACGGATGGGCAAATAGGTTGTTTCCAAGATTTAGCTATTACAAACTGTGCCGCTATAAACATGGGAGCACATACTTCTCTGTGATATGATTCTTTTAGTTCTCTTGGAAAGATACCCAACAGAGGGATGGCTGGGTCAAATGGAACCTCCAGTCCAAGCTCTTTGAGGTATCTCCATATTGTTTTCCATAGTGGTTGCACTAGTCTGCACTCCCACCAACAATGGAGGAGGGTTCCTTTCTCCCCACACCCCCGCCAACATTTGTTATTGTGTGATTTCTTGATAGCAGCCATTCTTTGTGGGGTGAGGTGGAATCTCAGTGTTGTTTTCATCTGCATCTCTCGAATGACCAGTGATGTGGACATTTTTTCATATATTTTCTTGCTGCTTTTACTTCTTTGTCTGAGAAATGTCTGTTCATTTCGGATGCCCATTTTTGGATCGGGTCTTTATATTTGGGGGGGCTGATTGTTTTGAGTTCTTTATATATCCTTGATAATAGTCCTTTGTCTGAGGTACAGCTGGTAAAAATTTTTTCCCACATTGTAGATTGTCTCTTAGTTCTGCTAATGGTTTCTTTTGAAGTACAGAAGCTTTTTAGTAAGATGAGATCCCAGGCAACTGGTAATCTTAATCATTGTTTTAATAGGCTGCTATTGAAGAAGGTTTATAACTAATAAGGATTATAACATCATATGGAGGAATATTGATTTTTAAAAATAGGTGGAAAAAGAAATAGAACCCAGGTGAAGGTAAATACAGACCGAAAGAATGTATTATATCGAGACATGTCTGCTGTATTCCTATGAAATAATCTAGAAGTAAAAGAGAGCTAGTTAAGGAAAGAAAGGGGATAACTTCAGAAATAAAGCCCTTGAAATTGTAAGAAGGGGCAGGAATGAGGTCCAAGACGAGGCACAAAGGAAAAACGGCACAAGGAGGCTCAGCCTGAGGTAGGAGAGAGCTGCACCTTCTGTGCTAAAAGCCTACCGCACTTTCACAATGCATAAATACACACATCTGTGTGTGTATTTTTCTAACTCAAATAGCAAATGGTAGAATGCCCTACATACTATCTTGTATATTTAACTGTATCTTTAAGTTTATATTTATAGACTTTCTTATTCCTTTTGACAGCTGCATAGTATTGTTGCTATACCATAATAACTTCTAATCCTCAGCTGATGGACACTACATTCTAGGATTTTTCTATTGCAAATAATTTTTAATGAGTAGCTTTGTAAAAATATACTAGTGGATTTGCAGAATAAATTACTAGAAATGAAATTGCTAGGTCAAACAGGATGAACATTTTAATTTTAAAAGCTAATCGGAGTCAGGCGTGGTGGTGCACACCTGTAATCCCAGCACTTGGGAGGCTGAGGCAGGAGGATCGCTGTGAGTTCAAGACCAGCCTGAGCTACATAGTGAGTTCCAGGTCAGCCTCAACTACATAGTGAGACCCTGTCTCAAAAAACAAACAAACAAACAAAAAACAACAACAAAAGCTAATCGGGACAAGGGATTTAGCTCAGTGGCAGCATGCCTGCCTCACAAGCACAGGGTCCTGAGTTAGATCACTGGTACCAAAAAAAAAAAAAACAAAAAAAAAAACGCTAATCAAACTGACTAGTTAATACCAGTTTATCAATCCAAATAAAGTGCTTATTTATGCTTCATCCACTCAGTAAACACTTTTTAATATTTTCAGTCTACTTTATCTCATAGATTTAATTTTCCTTTATCTTATTCATGAGGTTGAATATCATTTCATGTTTAAAATCCATTTACGTATCCTCCCTGTTTCTTCCCTTATTTTTCCATGGGGTTACTTGTCTTTTTTGTTTGTTTTTTGGGTTTTTTTGGTACCAGGGATCAAACTCCAGATCTTGCACTTGCAAGGCAGGTGGTGGAATCACTGAAGTAAATCCCCAGCCCTACTTGTCTTTTTTCATTAATATGTAGGAACTATTTATATCTTAAAAGATTTAGAGTTTTATTTGTCATGTTGCAAATTATTTTCCCCTGTTTTTTCATGTACCTGTACCTTATTTCTTATGTGTCAAAGTTTTGTAAACTGTTGTATAAATTATGTATTTTGCTGTCCACTATGTAAATCTATGTAGTTTGTAAAAAGTCAAGACTTTCTCTTATTTGGTTCCTGAATTTTGTGTCATGCTTAAAAGTTCTTCCCCACTTTATAATTTTAATAAAAGTACAAAGATATTGATTTTTAAGGTTTAAGTTCTTGATGCATCTGATATTTGTCTTTACTAAGAAATAAGTTAGGGATTCAACTTAATATTTTTATGGCCATCCATATTCCTAATGCCATTTATTTATATCTTGCTGTGTTAAACCTTGACTAGATTCCTGACCATGCCAATGGAGAAAGGCTAAAGAAAAACAGCATGTGTTGAGCTATTTGATGAATGAAAATAGAAGAATTCATGGGCAAATGAATACTGGGAATAGGAAGTTCACAAAGAACCACTTGGCAAAGACTTGGCACCTGAGTGTAGTTTCTCTTTGCAGCCTGGTTTACACATTTGCCTCGGGTGACTAAAACATTTGTGTTGAAGATCCACCCAATGATGAAGGCCTGCAATGTCTTCGCTGACTCCAGTGATTTCCGTCTTCTATCCCTTCGTGCACACCCGCAGCTACATTCTGACTCTCGCTTGTATCTGGAGTAGTTCAGCTTCTGGGCAACAAAACTCATACAACCTCCCTTTATTCCCAGCTCTGTGCCTCCCTTATTACTACCTCCACCTTCACCCATGCATGGCCTGGTGCTTGGACCTTTCTGGTTTCTCTCATCAGCTTCTTCTGCCTTTCCCTTTCTTTTCTCTCCAATCATTCTAACACTGATTAGCTCTGAATTTCTTCTTTTATTTTTGTCTTTTCTGCACCTATGGATCAAAACCCAACTCTGTATTAATATGAATCTACCTCCTCCAGGAAAATATCACAGACTATAATATATCACATACTATGGGGAAAAAGTCATACTCTGTGTGAACTGATGCCGCTACATACTGAGTCCGAAATGCACTGGATCCTCAAAACTGTCTGACAATCACATTTATCTCCAGATTTCTCCATGCCTCATTTTCACAATCTCTCTTTAAGGTTTCTCCACTCAAGTCTCCTCCCTCTTTTCCACACTCAGACACACCAGACTGGAGAAACCAGCTTACTCCTCACAGCAAAGTGGGTGTTACTGT